CATATAGTTATGTATGATTAAAGAATTCGACTTAATTTTTTGATGTTAGAAATTGAAAATTTTAATTATAAATTTATGTGAACTGAAAAAGAACACATGGTTATGTATATGATTAGAGAATTTGACTTGATTTCTTCTTAAATTGTTTGATGTTAGAAACTAAAAAAAATAGTTGCAAATTTTATAAACTAGTAAAAAATTGTAAAAGGTAAGCATTAAATCCTACACCACTATTTATTAGTTAAACTTAGAATTTTTTTTATAAGTAAATTAGAATTTTTTTTATAAGTAAATTAAACAATTTTTTAATACAATTTTTCTAATTTTTTAAAATTTGACATTAAAATGTAAAAGTTTAATTGATATTCTAATCTTGACTGGTTACTAAAGATGATGGGATTATTTAACATATTGAAAATATGAGAATATAGTCATGATATAGAGAGCATATGAGCATTTTAAGACCTAAATTCTCATTTAAATGTTAACAATTTAGATTATAAAAATTTGAAAATGACTTTGGATGTTAAATAAGACATAAAGATGATGACTGTGGTGATAATAAATGGTGTTGAGGTTGATGGAGATAATGATGGATGGAGATTATTGTAAAGAATTTGACGATGGAGATTGGTATAGATGTTTAGATCATGGTTTCATTCTTAGGGAGTAGGCTTGTTTGGTCAATCATAGACTCAAAGAGATTGTTAGAATGTATATTATATAGTGTGCACAAAGATTTAGAAATGAAGAGATAATCATAATGCCAAAAACTTATGCTTATATCAAACCTCAAGAATGGAGTACTAACCTTAGACATGGCCTTCAATCTCCACACTGCTTTGGTTGTCACCTAGTTAAACCTAGTCCACACGATACTCGATACATACCATTTCCTTGCTCTTAAAGGAGGTTTGGCCTCAAACCTCTACAAAAGTAACATCAAATCTGTACAAGTTTTGACATCAAATCAAAGAACAAAGCACTAACCATCGTACCACATGTTTAAGCTGATAGTAGAGGCTTAAACACCCCTCAAACCAACTTTAAGTAAGCTCAGATACGAGTCATCTGGTCTCCTTGAACTTTAGATATTACTTGGCCAAACCTAATCCACACCCTTCAGACCATTGGACGCATCGCATCACATTGGTAATAACATGATAGGTGATCAAACCTTAAGAACAAAATGCTAACCATCATGCCAAAAGTTTAACTTGATATGCCAATTCCTTTAAGTAAACTCAAATGTGGGCCCCGAGTCTCCACCAACTTTAGGTAGCAGTTGGCTGAATCTAATCTTAAGAACAAAACACTAACCATCATGCCAAAAGTTTAAGCTGATAGCATAGATGTAAGCCAGTGCCTTTAGGTAAGCTCAAAGGTGGGCCCCCAGTCTCTGTCGACTTTCGGCACCACTTGGTTGAATCTAATCTTAAGAACGAAACACCAACCATCATGTTAATGTTTAAGCTGATAGCATAGATGTAAGCCAGTTCCTTTAAGTAAGCTCAAACACGGGCCCCCTAGTCTCCACAGACTTTGGGTACCACTTAGCCAAACCTCATCTGCACCCCTCAGGCCTGGGATGTATCGCACTGCATTAGTGATAACATGATAGCTAACTCTAAGATAACCAAAATAAAATTTACCACTTACCTACTTGCCTTGTTGATGTTGTTACTTATAAATATTTATTAGTCAACCAGGAAAAAAATTCTTCCTTACATTACAAGAAACTAACTGTTAGGCTCAAACAAGACTCATGAATTTTCACAAAATTATTGAACTCTTGACCAAGTGAGCAAAATAGAGCCTATAATAAGCTTTGCACAAGTTAATCTCATGGAAAAGATATCAATAAATATGAGGTCTACCATATAAAGGGAAGTAAAAAAAAAAAGTCACTTCACTCTAAAATTATGGGTTTATAACTACTAAAATAATAATAGATATCATGACTAATGGGACAATAAAATATTTAAAAAAAATAGAAAATGCAATAAAGTCAATGATTAAATTGTTTTCTTTCTATCATAAAAAGATTGAAACATTTGCTAATGTGAACATAAACAACTACTCTATGGATGTTGTTATGGCTATTAACATCATTATCTAGCCATATAGAAAAAAATACCAACATGATACAACAAGCACATCCAATAAAACAAAAACAAAAAAAGGGGTATCATTCGTTAGCCAACCAACTTACTAGGAAATGATATATCTTGAACAAAAAAGAATTGAAAAGAAAGCTAGCTTGCCGAGATCCAAGGACATCATAATATATCACAAACAAAAAGTCATCTAAATCTCTTTGTTATGAATAACTCATCAAAAGCTTAACTATCAAGACTAAAGTTATCTTTAACATGGAGAAAACAAAAAATGCCAGCAATAACAAAACAATTAGATACTATGATGTAAATGAAGTCATATGCATTAAAATGAATCTTAAATGTCAAAAATGTAAAATAGTTCAGAGGCTTGTATTCTTATCAAAGAATGAGTCAAATATCACAAAATATGGCAAATTCACGATTGTATAAAATAAGCAAATATTATATCCAAGTTTCTAAAAGTTCTCCATTTCATTTTGCATTTTATGAAATATCAATTGTTTTAAGGTAGAACCAATTGGGAAAAAATGTATGATCATACTACCATAAAAAACAGTCAATGACAAGCTATCATTCAATATAAGCCAATTATTATCATCTGAAATTCACCAACCTTAAATAACCTTGCATAATCATTTGTTTGCCTATAATCACATCTGATATGATAAATTGTGAATACAAGTAGTGCTTTATACTTTGGATCATTTTGATGGTTGAGTCAACAAAGTGTCATTTCATGAAATAATTATGAACAAAATGCACAAGATAACATGTCTAGAATGTAAGATGATGAAAGAACAAGAGAAATACAAACACAAACTCACAAGGGAAAATTCTAAATAAATAATAACTATACTAACTCACCATGGCATTTCTTGCAAAAACTACCCACGATATTAGAGTTATTCATTCTAAAGGCACTTTCAAACATATTTCCAAACAAAGTTGTGCGTGCGTGTGTAACTTACTAGGAAATGATATATCTTGAACGAAATGAAAAAAGAATTGAAAAGAAAGTCGGCTAAAAGCCCAGATCCTAAGACACCATATCATATCATATCAAACGGTTAATTGTAAAAACTAGAATTATTGTCTTTAATATTTGAAAACATGGAGGAAACAAGAAATACCAGATCAATTTGCAAGTTTGTAGAGAAGCAATAAAAAACAATTGAATATTATAATATAAATAAAGTCAAATGCATCCAAGACGTCAAAAGTGTACAGTTGTTCAGATGCTTGTATTCTTATCATAGATTGAGCAAAATATGACAAAATAAGACACACTAGATAACTAACAGGAATGATGTCACCAAGAGCACACATTTTAACCATTATTTTGAGTTTCTTTTCCTTCTCATGTACCGATAATGTGAAAAATATCTTCACTAATAAGATAGGACTTAAATGCCCAAAATAGTTAAGCATATGAGAATAACTACCTAGCATTTTAGTCATGTCAATGTCAGATGTTAACATATTATTTTCCCTAACTCTTAGCACATGAATAGTCTTGCAAGTAGTAAAATAATTATCTATCTACATAATTACATGCATGCAAAGAAAATCCAAAATAAGTAATAAGTAATCATTTGGTTGCGGTTGCGTTCACAAGTCAAGAAGATAAATGGTAAAGATAGAATATAAGGTTTATATGAAAATGAAAATTAAAAAAAAAATTAAAGAGTTTATTGTAAGATTGTTTCTTGAATGGATCTTAAGGAAACCATACTAACAAATAAACATAGGTGCCTCAAATCAACCAATTATTTATTAGAAACCCTTTTTGTAATTAGATGTATATGCAAAGAAAAAGTGCAGGAGGACCAAAGTAAAGAAAGAGGCACCTAGAAGAGAAACCACATCAAATAACATTAAAGTATTAGGATCCTACAAAAACTGAAGGTCGACATTTGACTTCAAGAAGTGTATGTGTCAACCTAAAGGCATATAACCTAGAAAGCATCATTGTTACGTGAGAAGAATGATGGATTGGATGCTTTTTTGTTTAAAGAATTTATTAGCAACAATCTTCCACAGGATTATAATCATTGTCCAAATGTTTCAAATAAGTAAGTGTTATATCCAAGTTTCTAAAAGTTCTCCATTTCATTTTGCATTTTATGAATCAACTGGGAAAAAAATATATAATCAAGCTACAGTTAAAAGCAGTCAATGACAAGTCATTATTCAAGATCAGTCAATTAATATCATCTAAAATTCACCAACCTTTCAAACATATTTCCAAAGAAAGATATATGTGCGTGTGTGTATACATACATGTGGTTAAGACATCTGAGACAGCGAAATCCATCAAATAAGTCAGCAAAGAATATATAAAAGCAAGAGAGCAGACACTGAAATATATACATATTAGTGTCAGTGAAAAGAAAGTTACAAGGCACGACCTTGTCCTTCTGAAAAAATCATTTGAAAACGGAATAAATAACAAGCAGATGTAACAGTGGAGGTCAATTATGAGACGCATTAGCTTCCTGTTAGCCCTCATTACTAACTTGTTCTTTTTCTTCCTAATCATATCAACCCCATAACAATTAACTACTCAACAAGTCAAAGAACACCAGAAAAACTTTATCTTTATATGGCCAATTTGCCACGTAAACTTAACCATGACTCTCAAGTGAAACCTGCTCATTTGTAGCTCAATTACAATAAAACGTAGGAACTTTGGCATGCCACGTAATTTAACTTAAAACCATGACTCTCAAGTGAAACCTGCTCATTTGTAGCTTCAATTACAATAAAACGTTTCCCTAATAGGAAACTTTGGCATGCTGAATAATCGCAATCACAGGAAACAACACTAAGTGTAAAACAGTTTAAGTTACATAAAGAGAATTAAAAAATTTATCAGTATCATACTCTGGAAAAGGCCCTTGAATCTAGAAAACAGTGAGCCAATTCTGTTGAAGGAATTCAATAGATACCTGTGGGAATCTTGATCATCATGCTGAGAATAACTGCAAGAGATGATCTCATAAATAAACTACTAGAGTTGTTAAGATTATATTATTTGATCCAATAACAAGCACTAACCTGTGCAGGCAAGTGTAACAATGGAGGCCATCCTGGAGCATTAGGAATTGCACAAGTTAATTGTAACTTAATCTGATTGCCATCTCTATTTAGTACAAATGCAACCACCCCTTTTTCCTGGTTTATCCAATTCGCTGGGACAATAACAAGCAGCAAGCAGAGTTTGTTATCAACTTATTATCAAGTTCTTTGTTAAGATCAAAACATCAAATATGAAAATACTCTTTGAGTTCATTATATGCAAATATCCTAATAGAAATTTTACCTCCCAGATGCCGTCACTAGCCAAGATGATGGACTCGGTGTCCTCAGTAATGTTTTGAATCATCACATCTGGTTCTGCAGTAATGCCTTCTGTCCACATAAATCAAAGTTATGGATTATAATGATCATTGAAAAAAAATGTAAGTTGAAGAGAAATAAGCATTGATTATTTGTTCTTCTAACACGTCAACAAAATTTGCAAGAAATGTTGACTGGTTGCAAAGGACAAATGGGAATAATAAGATGAGAGACGTATATTTATCTTTACATTTCGTTTATTTAAGCAAAGATATATGTGTATTATCATCAAGCAAAACCCACAGAAAATATATTTGCCTAGACTCTATAAGTTTAAGAATGAGATGTATCTGTTTCAAACCCATCAAATTGAAATGAATGCATACCAGACTCTAAACAAATCTACATAAGAATCATGGAAGAAAATATATGCGTATTATCACCAGAAAAATCCCACAGAAAATATATTTTCCCAGATGCAATAAGTTTAAGAATAAGAGGTGTCTGTTTCAAACCCATCAAATTGAAACTCATGCATACCAAACTCTAAACAAATCTACATATAAGAATCATGGAAGAAAATATGTGTATTATCATTAGATAAAACCCACAGCGAAAGTATTTTCCCAGACGCAATAAGCTAAAGAATGGGAGGTATCTGTTTAAAACCCATCAAATTGAAAAAAAAAATGTATACCAAGCTCTAAACAAATCTACATATGAGAATCATGGAAGAAAATATATGTGTATTAATCAGAAAAACCCCACAGCAAAAGTATTTTCCCAGACGCAATAAGCTAAAGAATGAGAGCTATCTGTTTAAAACCCATCAAATTGGGAAAAAAAAATGCATACCAGGCTCTAAACAAATCTACATATAAGAATCATGAAATATATGTGTATTATCATCAGAAAAAACTCACAGCAAAAATATTTTCCCAGACGCCATAGACTAAAGAATGAGAGGTATATGTTTCAAACCCATCAAATTGAAATACACGCAGAAACCAATATGCATAGAAGAATCATGGAAGAAGATATATATCTGTATTATCATCAGAAAAAACCCACAGAAAATGTATTTTCCCAGACGCAATAAGTTTAAGAATAAGAGGTATCTATTTCAAACCCATCAAATTGAAATAGATGCATTCCAGACTCTAAACGAATCTACACAAGAATGCTGGAAGAAAGTAATCCCAGTTTCACTTGATATGTTATGAACTTATACTCCAATCAGCAAGGCTGCTTCAAAAACTATTGCATCTGAAGTTAAGATAAGGTAGTTAAAAACTCCGAATGAGCCTCTGGATTTAAAATGCTTAGACCAACAGCTTCGCTTAGAGTCCCCAAAGAACATGAAAAGTTAAGAAATTGAACAGAGAGAGGGAGGGAGACAAGAACCTGTAAAGTCAAGTTTTCCTGAAGGAGAGCGTTAGCCTGAACCCAGAAGCTCGCAGAGCCACAGGGCAAATCCGCCATTGATGATCGTTAGATTCAACTGAGTGAGTCAGATTGCCGCATTTGAACTCTCGGATCAAGAGGCGAAAGCAAGCAAAGCAACACACTTCCACCACCAAGCCATAAGTTTGATGGGTTATGAACTTATACTACAACCAGCAACGCTGCTTCAAAAACCATTGTATCCGAAGTTAAGATATGGTAGTTAAAAGCTTAAATAGTAGTTAAAAGCTCCGAACGAGCCTCTGGATTTAAAATGCGTAGACCAACAGCTTCGTTTAGAGTCCGCAAAGAACATGAAAAGGTAAGAAATGGAACAGAGAGAGGGAGGGAGAGAGGAACCTGTAAAGCCAAGTTTTTCTGAAGAAGAGCGTTAGCCTGAGGCCAGAAGCTCCCAGAGCCACTGGGCAAATCCGCCATTGATGACCGTTAGATTCAACTGAGTGAGTCAGATTGCCGCATTCGAACTCTCGGATCAAGAGGCGAAAGCAAGCATCAACACGCTTCCACCACCAAGCCAGAAGTTTGATGGGTGACCGTCAAATTCGATGGACGCTTGTCGTCTTAAGATAGCTAGTCGTTTGCTTAGAACGGTCCGAAATTTGAATTTTCATTTTCTCAATTTCAGTCTGATCAGTTATTACCAATCTCAATCAAATAACCTCCCAATCACAATTTAATGATAAATTTTTCTGTTGGAAAAAAAAAAATTCCGTCCAATTCCTTAAATATATGAGTTTTTTGATACAACGGAAAATAAAGCGATTATTATCAGCCTCAATCAACCTCTGGTCACAATTTAATAATAATTTTTTCTGTTAGAAAAAAAATAATGAAATTTTCCGTTCAATTCCTTAAATATATCTTTGTTTTTTGGAGAATAATTTCGCTAATTTCAAATAAATGTAACCGTAAATGTAGGGATTTGCACGAAACATATTTTAACAGAAATAGAAAAATGTGGTGTCTAGATGATATAAATTTTACTTCATTGAAATTGTTTATCATTCGCGTACGTGTACTGGACAAAATTGAAGGCCGTACAAATATAATTTAGGATTACAAATTTTAAAAATTCCAATAAAAGAGAAAAAGTCATTAATAATTTAATGCACAAAATAAAATAATTTAATTACCTACTTCATAGAATGTTTGATGTTAAGAATTGAAAAAATAGTTGCAGATTAGCGTTGATATATTTTTTGTCGTTAATATTTGAATATATTTTGATTTTAATCCCTCAAATTTTAAATTTATAGTTTTAGTCTTAAAATTTAGTGTCTCTTAAAATGTTAATACTTGAAGTGTGACAATATTAAAATTTATCAAAACATTAAAGTGATAATGTGAAATTAACATATATTAGGTTAGCTGGATCTCGTGTGAATCACATGAAGCTTTAAAATATGACAAACATGCCAAAAAAAAAAGAGCTAAACAGTTGCATTTTGAGGACATATTCTTATATTTTTATCATCTGTTATTTATACAAAATTCAGATAGAAAACCATCTAGTTAGTTCAAAACTTCAAATCACCACTTTAACACTATTTATGATACTTCTAAAGACTAACATTTTAAAACGGACTAAATTTCAGAAACCAAAATCAGAAGTTTAAAATTTGAGAAATCAAAATCAAAACAAACCCATATTTTAGGAACCAAAAATTTTATGAACCCTATAAATTATTATTAACTTAGTAATAAATTATAAAAGAGTATTAAATCCTACAACTATATTTATTACTTAAACAATTTTTTGATAAATAACCTAAATAATTTTTTTTAATTTTTTCAAATTTGATATCAAAATTTGATACTTTGAGGTGCTTGATACAAATAAAAATATATTTTAAAATGCTATATGCATCTAGAAAAATACTTGGTACTGAATCACCTTAACGCTTAATAAAATTTGTTATTGATTTTCTTCTTCTTTTTTATTTCATATGAGTTATTAACTTTCACTATCATATTTTGTCATATGTATTAAAACTACTTTTTAAGTTTGCATAATTAATAATAATATTTTTAAAAAATTATAAATTTAAAAAACAAAATAGATTGAAATTTTATATTTGGATTAAATCAAATTCAAATCTAAATTGTATATTAATTACAGGAGGTATTATATTGATATTAATGATGGATGATTTGGTTGATTCATACCAAAATTATTTTCAAAAGAAACAGATTTGCACTATAATAAGTGCTTTCAGTGACGGATATGTAAATTCAGAAAGCGCAAGAAGAAATCTCCTAGACGTATGTCTAAACTTGCTTTATTAATTTTTTGTAATAATATTCTCATGTATTTGGAAAAAAAGCTATCAATAGTAAAATTTCTATCAACTAGGTCCTATGGATTTACATTTGCAGCAAAACAATTTAAACTCATGTTTATATAAATCACATCCTTACCAATTAAATTAAAATTTTTGTTGCTATTTTCTATTTGCTTCTTCTAAAGAAATTGAATACAAGAGTTAAGTCTCTTGCAAATTAGAGTGAACTTTTTGAAATTTCAGAAATTGAAGTGGTATTTTTGTGAGATTTTTTCTAAATAACATAGCTCATCTCATCAAGAAATCAAGAAATAAATTAATAAAAAATTAATTTATAAGAATTAACTTATTGCTTTAAATACCACTTCCTAAGATTCAATTTATTATTTTTTAACTAATTTATTTTATTTATAAATTAATATATAATTTAATAATACACATAAGTATTTTAGGAAAACCTTATGTGTATAATTAAGTAATTTAATAAATTTTTTATTTTGAATCGGAGTATTTCTAGTCCAGTTGCGTTTGAAAATTATTATTCGCGATTTGATTTGAAATTCAGAGAATCAGTCTCATGAGTTCCCACGTCTCCTCCACCTTCCTCTTCGAGTCTCCGAGGTGCTTTCTCTGTAATACTCTCTCTCGTGGTGACTCTCTGCTTATTCCCGCTTCATCCTCCTCCCCGTTTCCCTCCAAACGGGGTCCGATTCTGTGCCAGAAGATGTCCTGCTTCTCTCAAACCTCCTTTCCTACCTTCACCACTGTCAGCATATCTTTCTCGGAGCTCAAAGTACCCCTCTCTCGCTCTCTCTTTCCTCATTGTGTTTTTGGTTCAATGGATATCTTGTGATTACTATTTATCGTGAGTGAACTGATTCTGAAATGGATTTTAAACGTGCCAACATGCAAATAGCGGTTGTTTAAATGTGTTTGTTGTGGGCGTGCTATGGCGATTAGTGAAGTATTGATGCTTTGTCTTGTGCAACACTGAAGATATTCTCGATGCAATTGTGTTGCTACAAGTGTAATTTGACTTGTGTTTTGTTTATTGATTTGGTTCGTTTTTTATTTGCTGTGGCAGGATAAGAACTCTGACTTGTCGATGAAGATTGAAGAAGGGTTTGGGCCCAATGGACTAGGAATTCTTTCGGTCACAGATGTCTGTGCAAAGTTGCTTTTTATACCACCTATTAATTCCAGCCTTGATAAACTACAATATTTTTGGTTTTGGAGGGATTAAATATTTTGATTTAGTTAGTTCTTATGTAGTTCGTTGTAATGCTTTGCACATAAATTGGCATTGAATTTTTGCGGCGTTCTGTTCCCAACTGTGAGAATATATTTTCGTTTTACTTCTAAGGAATCCATTCACTTGGCATCACTTGGGTTGGGCTAGCCAGTGTTATTACCCTTATGGGGTACCATTAAGATCTAAGAACTAATCCTTGAGCCTCTCCCATCCAACATGATAGATTGATAGACTTTTAGGTTGGGGCTCTCCTCTTGGCTTAAGTTGTGAGCCGTTGACTTTTAAAGGGGTATTCAATATTATGTCCCATCTTGCTTAACCTTTGAGACCCAGGATGGTGCACAAGCTTTGATGCTCTCGGACATGGATGATATCAACAAAAGGATAAGAGGCCAAGCATGCACCAACCATCTGCAAGAACTTGGAATATTGTTGTTCTTGACGTTGGGATTGCACTTAGACATGTTTGTGTTCTCTGAGCCTTAGGAAATCATAAGTGAAGAGAAAGAAAATATAGGCAATGACAAATGAGTAGTGTAAGAATGTGTGCATCATGTCTAAAATTACAATGCATTATCTCTTGTGATGGGTTTTTCTGTTTGTCCTCTAAATCAATCCATATAGATGTGGTTTAGATAATTATGCCGGAACTGGATATTTTGTTTTCTGGCTGAACTATACTTTGTGCCCTCATAACCCTTTAATTGACTTTAGGTCCCTGGATACTCTTCATTACGTACTGATCTTTTGCATCTTGCACCCAGGTAAGTGCTTCAAAATAGTGTTTCTACCATCATTATGGATGCGTTAGTTTAGGATCAAAGATGATTAATAAAAGCATGCTATTTTGGTACTGAAAAGTTTTCCATATGTTCTGTCAGATTGGCTAGTCTCCCTGAAAAGGTGAAGGAGGAACTTGAGGATCCTCATAGCAGGTAATTTCCTCTGTTATTAGAAGTTCTCACCATTTCATTTCCACTTTTCATGATATTTTCTACTTACTCAACCAGTTATATTGCTATCATCTGCCATCCAATACCTTTACTTCTAGATATTTGACAGAGTAAAAATAATATTTTTTTTCCTTCTATCCGCCATGAATTTGCAGGTACAATTTTGGCTGGAGTCATGGGAAAGAGAAGCTTGAATCTGGGAAGCCTGGTAAATTATTTCATCTGTAAGATATAATGCGCAATCTGAGAGATGCTTGATGAGGTTGAAACAAATGTTTTTCATGTTTTATTATATGTCCGCGCAAACCTACATTCTTGTCCACATGTATCTTTTCATATGCATTGGATTGAAGGAAATTCTTAGCTTATTGAAAGTAGAATAGAAGTTACAAAGTTCTTATCTGTTTGTTGGTGTACTTTGATCATTGCACTGGAAAGTGGGCATCGCTTCAGCCCCAAAAAGGTTGAAATTTTATCCAAGAATTTGATGATCTGGACAATACCTTTCTGTAAGGTCAAGTTGGGTTACATGGTCTTATACCACAGCAAAGCATTCTGAGTCTCCTGCTGGGTTTGTCTGTGACCTAAGATAAGAAAATGTTGAGGCAGCTTTGGTTGATGGTGAGATGGCATGCTTAATTCAGCATGAAACAATCCTAATATATCTTTTTGAAAAATGATTCAAAATGAAGCAAATGATATGTACTTTAACGTGTCTGTAATATGTTCTAAAAGTGACTATCTGACGTCAACATAAAAGATATATAATTACGCCTATACGCTAGGTGACTTTCTACTACAAAAGTTATGTTATTTCTGGTTAACATTATTTCTAAATGTAAGCATACTTTTCTCATAAATGAATTATTTCTAAATGTAAGCATACTTTTCTCATAAATGAATGTGATCCAATTATATGATTTTGCTTTTTCAAACATTATGTTGCCTGTATTTTTGAAAAGCATAACTGTTAGTATTTGGTTGCGTGCACAATTTTATGAGAAAATTAATTAATTATCTCTTCATTTTTCTTAAATGAGGTTTCTTTTTATCTTTATCTACTTTTTTTATTCCTCAACTGCAGATCTATTAAAAGGTTCTTTCTATGCAAATCCTATACTAGATAGGCCTACAACAGAGGCATCCTTGATACAACGGTAAAGGCAAATAAAAGCCGATTTTTCTTTGCTCAAGCTGTTTCTTGCCCTTGGCTATTACAAGATCTATAAAATGGCTGATATGGAGTCAACTTTTGCTTTGCTGTATTCTCAACGTTTGGAATGAGTGATTATTTTTCTATAGAAAATACCCTTAGTGCAATAGGTTACATAATTACTTCAAGTTATCATCTGAGTCATTAAGTTCTGTTTTCTCATCACTTTTTAACTCTAAATGACCAAAATGGGAAGTGTTTTCAAGTCTGGTGCTTGTGAGCATATGCATCACCTCAGCTTTTGCATGTTCTGTAGGTATCCGTCATACTGTGGATCAAATATATGGCCCAGCAAAACATTACCGGAACTTGAAGCGGGTATGGCCTAGACCAATTTTACGTGTGCAGCAGTTTTCTATCAAGTGTTGCTGGAAGTATTTCCTCTGATGTTATTTGAATGATCGTGTAATTGATGATTGTAGACTATAAGCTGTTTTTCTGGATTTGCCGTTTGTATGTGCATGCAGCACTTTTGCTATTTGCTTGCCTACATCTTTATCCATTTTTGTGGTTCTCTTTAGCAGATAGTCTGACACTTCTCTTCATGCTTCTCTATAATTTCTGCTGCAGTGCATTGTACATGGAGCAACCTTTTTATTCCCTTGTCTTCTTGGATTATTAGATGTTACAGTTGAATTTGGTCAAGAGCATGTCGTTCTTATGTTTTTCTTGTAAATTACTAAAATTTGAGATAGTGACAATGAAGCGTTTAACTTTTTGTGATCTGTTTTGCCATACTGGTACATGATTACTCAATCAATGCTCACTTGTTTTGATTGTGTAGCTTTCAAAGCACTTGGGAAGCTGATGTTTGATGTTGGGCTGATGTTGGCATATCACTGTGATCAATATGGTAATACAATTAGCTTTATATGTTCTTCCTCAGACAAATACGCTGCCAATGGCCTCCCCAAGCCTTCTATTTCTGTACACATTGAAATCAAATAAAGATCTCTTTATAAAAAGCATATCCAGTAATATGCAAAATAGTTGATATGATCTATGTGGATTTCCTAAAAATGGATTTTTGGCCCATTTTCCTTCCCCCGCTAACTTCCCGTGGTAAGCTGGGAATGGGCCTTGGGTTCTAAGATCCGCCAAGTAAAGGATTTTAGCTGTACGCCCTTATCAGTTTAAGGCTGTGACTTGTGTGGATCATTTGTGAGTGTTGGTATGCTTAGGTGATGCTGCTGATATGGAAATTGTAACTGCTTCCTTTTGTTCTTGAAGAAGGTCTTTTAACAGTTGTATATATTTCCTCTCATTTTTTCTCAAGTAATGATTTTCTGTCACCTTCAATTTTGCTTTTCAGTATCTAAAGGGATGAAAAAGCACCAGGATGAAGGTTTGGAGCCAATACTTCGCCGCTCCCGTTGTCATAAAGGACGTTTGCTTTATTATTTTCCTGCACAACAAGGGTAATTTTGATATTGTTTTTCTTTTGCTCATCTAAAACTTTCAAGTTAACATCTGACAAAAGCAGCGAGCTGATAGTTGAAGTTTGATTTTTTTCCCCCATGAATATATGAATAGAGTGGAAGACATGAATGTAATTAAATGACTTGAGAGATAATATGAAATTCAGAGTCCTTTGTTCATTGTTCATTCATTTAATTTTTCAAAGGTGCCATGTAAAATCGTTTTACTTGCTAAATCTTATTAGCCCTAATTTCATGGTCTATCGAGGACAACATAGGGAATCACTGAGAACTGAAACCTGTAGTTCAATACCTACACTCTAGACTTTCGTTTGTCTGTCTTTTATTTAGCTTAACAGCTTATCTTTTCTTTTACTTTACATTTCTCTTTTTGGGCCAAATTTTTCACTTCCTTTTGAAACCTCGATCTGATAATATTGGGAGAATCACATTTTCAGTTGATGGATAAAGGCATAACATTTCTTCATATGGACATTTTCTCCTGTATATTTTTTCTAGTTCTGTTCATGGACCTGTATATTTCAGGTTTGAGTGGAACTTCCATGATAAAGGACAAACTTACTTTATAGAATACTCTATTTCTAAAGTTGAATTTTTATTAATCTTGTATTTAGCATAGTTTATGATATGCATGACAGTATTGAAAAAGCTGCGAATGACTTGCTTTAACAGCACTCTGGATGGTAGCTCTATGTCTGATTGGTGTGGTTGGCACACAGACCATGGTTCACTAACAGGTGACCATCACTTTTTCTTTTTTGGTCATAAAGGTTTTATTCTAGTGTGTTTGTTGATATAGTAACATGTGTAGGGAAAATTATAAGTTGTCTAGAGAAGAACTAATATTGTTGTTCTTCACGTGTCATCTTTTTCCCCATTTTCTATTCAAATTTTAATTTGCAGGTCTGACCTGTGGTATGTTTAAGAGAAATGGCGTGGAAGTGCCTTGTCCTGATGGTACTGCTGGCTTATATATTCGAACACGAAGTGACCAAGTTGTGAAAGTATGCATTCCTTTCCTGCATTTGAAAGTAAAACGAGATACAATTCAATGAATTCAGAAGATATTGTCATTATTGAAACCTAAAATTTCTTCTTGGTCCGTCTCTCTCCAAGCATGAGTGTTAGAATATTCTTTAATGGAATTACAGACAATGTTGATTCTCCAAAAGTCAAAACTGTGTTATTTATTTCTGTATGTGAAAACATGTTGAAATAAAGGGGTAAAATTCACACGTCTATAATGTCAAATAACATTTATCCATAATTTTTTGATAAGATCATATATTTTATTTAAGAAGGGTAAAAAACCAAATTACTGCAATTTGATCGAAAAAACTTGTGCTACATTCTACTTAAATGGACTGGAATTTTAATAGCAAGAAACACTGATAATAAGGTTTTGATATGCATACAGTTCTTTGAGAGAGATAGACTAGAGATAGGAGAAAATACCTAGTAGAAGTAAAAACTTTTTAACGATAATATTCTAAGAAATGGTTGGAACTTGGAAGTATTTGAAGAGAAATTTAACTGATGTTTGATGCATTTGAATGGGCATCAGTTTCATTTCTAAACTTTTATGGCATTTTTTCTGTTACTTTTTTTAATATATATATATATATATATTATGAAGTCTGATCTACTAACTCCAGACTGCTCACACGTCCAGCCTAATGTCAATAGGGATACGTGTCATAATTCAGCATGAGCAATGTGGGTTTCATAATTTTTTGCAGTCTTGTCCCTTTGTATTTAGGATGAGCAGGACGAAAGCATATATAACAGACGCTACCCTCAGTAGGAATGACGGTTGCATGTAAACTGTGAAAGCATCTGTCCTGTAAATTTTAACTTTCTCTTTTTAACAACTACAGGCTGTTAGTATATGTTTTGGTTTTAATTGCAAATGAATATTCAACAGAAAACTGAATGAAGCTTCCTTGGTTCCTTTTCATGAAGTTGGCTCATGAAGCCTAGAATTATTATAATTCAACACATTGTATGTACTCATTTGATGTTTTACCCATTAGGTTGTGTTTGGAAAAGATGATATAGCCTACCAAATTGGTGAAACCACTGAAATATTATCTGGAGGCTATCTTTGTGCAACACCTCACTGTGTTCGGGTAAACTCTAAGCCTCGGAATCTCTTTGCTGTTCCTTTAAGCATACCATGTGTTATGGTGATCTTACTAGTTACCATATTAAACTATGTTTTATATGTTCCTTTTTTCTTTCTTTATATTGCATCGCTTGGTTTCTTTTTCTCCACACTAGCTATAAATTGCAAACCGGCATCTTTCTCTTCAATATTTTTTTCCCCCGGGAAGTCTTTCATTTTGTACATTTAGTGTTCTTCTGGACCAGCGATCATTCACATTGGTCAATTTTTGTTATGATTTGCTTAAAGTACAAATGCTTTCTTCGGTCTTTCAGTTCAAAGCTCATTTTTCCTCATCGTCTTTCTTGGATGGTGATGGTTTGTATATGAGATGGTCTGATTAGGCCAGCTTAGAAGATAAACTTGGAGATTTGGAATGCTACAGTTTGATTATAAGATACTCTCTTCAGTTCTTAATATAAAACCCATTTTGTAGTACAAAAGTAGTTCTGATATTAAGGACTAGAGGAACAGTGTAAAGTAGTTTTGTGATGATAAATGAACTTTTTCCTCAATGTTCAACTTACCTTCATCTCTAGAGTTGTAGCGTATCAGATCTAGATTCGCTGTCCTCTGGCATCTAATCTTATTAAGTATGGAATTTCTGATCCTTTTAGGCTCCTAAGGGATTGGAGGCTTCTGGTATTGAGCGTTCAACATTTGCATTCTTCATGCAACCTGACTGGTATGTATGGTCAGATACTAAAGTTATCTTTTTAGGCTTTAGTTAACCATGCTGAGTTTGGTGCTTCTTGAATGTATGGCAAAGTTGAGGTTAACTATGAATCCAGGCTTAATTAACAGTTTCCTTTTCAGGGATGAAAAACTCAATTTTCCTGAGGATGTCCATATTCATAAAGAGGTATGCATTTTTAAGCCATGACCCTCATACTGGGAATTACCATTACTGATTAAACCTTAAAAGCTAGACTTTCATATCCGGAGCTCAGTTGAGACAATGAAATGCTTCTGCCTCCTGTATATAAATTTAGTATGCAGGATTTATAGAGGCTAGATCGTGCCTGTTCTTTCTATTTTGCAGCTTATACGATCAAACGCTGCCCTTACTTTCGGAGAGTATTCAGAGATGCTGCTAGACAAATATTACCACCAAAAGAAGTAATGTTACCATTTTGCCTATTAACGTCTAATTATGATTTGAACTCCTTTGCCTTTGTAGATTTTCTCTTGGTTTTCCATTTAGCTGCTAGTTGATCTGGTTTTTCGGTTGATGTTCATTTGATAATCTCTCTTTTTCTTTTAATAATTTTTTTCCAGGACCTAAGGTTTAATGTTAGTATCGTCACAGCCTAGAACTAGTTGGGAGGAATGATTTTCCCATGTCAACAAAATGCCAATTCTTGGGAGAGAAATAATGCCAATGCCACGAATAAAAAGTAACTTGTAATATTATTATGACATTTAATATAACTGACGAATATATCCATAAAAGTTGTAAGTAATTGAGTTATGAACAGTATAGTTCATCTCGAATTTATGGATTAGATTCATTATAAGTATATAAAATATTTAGAATTTGTGATAATAAAGCATTTATTAAGTTATAAGAAAATAGATTACCTTTTTTAGTTTTTTTTTAATGCCTGGGAAGTCCTTACTTTTTTTTCCTCTGGAGATATAGTTACTTGTAACAAGTATATAGTCATCATGTTTCTCTCTTGAAAACCAAGCAATATTTTATTTCATATCAACAACCAGTAGGTGGGGTCAACTATAAGGATCTCACGATGCTATTATGCCCTATTAACAACCAAGTCTTTATATATGTTGTTGATTAGAAAATCTCGTTCAATAATCTCATTAAGCGTTCTCTTGAATCTTCCTCTGCCTCTTTTTCATGACTCTAAATTGTGTGATATACCTTTCTTACTGTGCTTCCAATGGCCTTTTCTGTACATGTTCAAATTATCTCAAACAATGTTCAATTATTTTCTCTTTGATAGGTGTTACACTTAGGGGTGTGTAATTTGTCCCGTCCCGGTCGTCTCATCCTAGTCCCGGTGAGTTTGGGACGAGACAGGACGAGACAAAAAATTTTGGGACAGGACAAGTACAGGACGGGACGGGAACAATGACTCCCGAGGTATTTTTTTTAAAAAAGTTATTTATTAATAATTATTATTAGATTATTTAATTTACTTATTAATAATTATTATTATTTTTATAGTGATTTTTAGCTCTTAAGTTGTAGTATTATCTTAACAAAATCTCATTCCTCAATAAAATAATTCATAAAGACTATATAGTGTTTTTTTCCCCTATATTTTTTTACAGCATTATTTTTACATCTTTTTATATTATATAATTGAGTTTTTTACATAATATTTTTTTATGATTTTTTTAACTTTAGAAATCCAATGAAAAATAAGCATTATAACATAAAAAAATTCATCTAAAACATTATTTTTTTTTAAAAAAAAAAGGGGTAGCGGGACGTCCCTGTCTCGTCCCGATCCCGACGAGACCGGGATGGGACACTGGACAAAATTCATGTCCCGTTCCGGTTCCGTGAACACTTCTAGTTACACTTATTCTTGCTATGATATTGTCATTTAAATGTTAATTTTTTTTTTTGTATGACCACAGAGTCATTTTAACATTCTCATTTCTGTCGCTCTAATTTTACGCTCTTGCTTTTTTCTTTAAAGCCCAACATTTCATTACCATATAACACCGCTGATCTTATTCTCATGTAATTAAAAGATGAGACACTGTTGGCGTGGCTTCCCAATCACATTGTGGAAAGGACGTTAAAATGGTTGGTGGGACACTTCCTGTCAGCGGGGAGTCCTGTTTACACACGTGAATAGGAGACAATCTCAGTGACATCTTACACCTACATACAAAGGTTAGGTTCATGTTGGATGTATTGCTATCTTCGTTCATTATATATTTCAATTCAAAGGAAAAATCCAAAGTGCTAGCTCTTTATCAAACTGCATTAAAAATAATTCTTTCAACGTTATCCTTTTTCTTTTCCTTTTATTTTATAAAGTTGGGATGACTGAGATGAAAGATGTGGATATAGATACTTAGTTATATAAAAAAGTTAAAATTTATAGTGAACATACATGTGAGAGAGAGAGTTGGTGTAGTGCCTATTGAAAAAAATGATAGAAAATCCTTTAAAGTAATTTGTACGTGCACAAAGACAGCTATTAGAAGTGTCAGTAAATATAATAGATTAGACAGTATAGAATCTTACAAAAAACAATAAAAGAAAATTTAGTGCAATTATTGAGGGAAACCTTTTAGATAACAATTATTTAAAAATTTAATTGTTGATAGAGTATAATAATATCATTAAATCCCTTTAATCAATTTCATTTAGTGAAATCAAGCTTGTTACTATTGTTTTTATTGTTATATTAAGAAGAATGAACCAGGACACATTCTACAATAACATACGCCTGTGACTGAAGGATTTTGGGAGAAGCAGCCAGGTGCCAATGCAGTAACATGCCATTGGCTCAACATTGTCTGTTTCATCCATCAAATTCGAACTGTTACCCTTATCTAAGAAGATCCAGTTTCTTTCACTTAACTCAAACCGAAAGTGTTTGCTTTTCCTATTTGAACAAGAAAAAAACAGTGCATGCTTTTGAGCAGAAGCAGGATAATGGGACCCTTTATTACTGCCCTTTTTGCGGGATTTGGATTTGGGAGACACCATTTGATTTGACTAGTCATAACTGAAAACTACTCGACCCGTTAGGCCTTCCCCCCTTGTTCACTTAGTGGGCTGCTCCGTTTCCGGGGGACCTTGTTTATTCGGTGACTTTATCTTCTCAAGTTCTAAATATGTAGTGCCCTCACATCAATTTCCTTGTATTTGGATGTACAATTGTAGAGTTGTTCTTTGAAAAATTATACTACCTCCGGTCTTTAATATAAGATCATGTTTTACTTTTATGTTGGTGCTAAATATAAGACCACAATCCATTTTGTCTCTCACATTTACTCAATTTTTTCCAAGATAGTCCTTCTAATAATTATAGTTTTAGTTAATATACTTGATTAGTAAGGATATTTTAAAAAAGACAACACCTATTTATTTATTATAAATAACTAATTTAACTTCTTTCCTTAATTTTCTCAAATTAGTCAACTAGCTCTTATAATTAGAACCGGAGGCAGTACTAACTAACTCTAGCAGTTAATATAAGACTTAAATAACCAATTTAAAAATATTAAAAAAATTAGTTAAATTGATTATTTGTCACAAATGTGTTGGTCTTCTTTAGCTATAATTTTCAATTATGTGTATTAAATTATTGAAATTATTACTTGGTGAGAACCCCTTACAATTAATAAGGATATTTCAAAAAAAAAATACAAACAAAGTAAATTAAGATCTTATATTTAAAATCAAATTCAATACTCAATTAGTTTTTAGAAGTTATTTGGGTACTTTTTTCAAATGTTGAGAAAAATCATCCAAAAACAATTTTTTAAAAAAATTACTTTTAAATTGGAAACCATCATTTGGGGTATGAAACCATGGTTTTCCAAAAGTGAATTTCTTTTTGTTTTTAGAGGTACAAAATCATGGTTTGAGATATAAAAATATATTTAATTTTATATTTTATAAATATGTAGACATTTAATTATTATTTATATAAATAATAAACTAGTCTTACTCAATAACTTATAAGAGCTAATTAGATATTTAATTTGATTCTAAATATAATATATCAATCCATTCTGTTTCCTATATTTATACATTTTTCCCTCAAGTAATTCCAATGATAATTACACGCATTTACAAATTAGTTATTTAACTCTTATATTAAGAATCAATGTAGCATATTTATAAATTCATACACGCATTAATTACTAATTAATAATATTTGTTCACATATTATTTATTATGTTGGCAAAAAAAGTATTTTTTACAAATTTATTATTTCAAACAAAGATATAAATTAAAGTCTATCTTTTATGTAATTATTATATCAACTTATATTTTTTTTAGTAATTTGTACATGAAAAAAGTAATTCTGATAACAACTATCTAAATAGTCTCACTTTATCAAAATCACTTTTTATACAAAATCTAATTTTAAAATAACTTTTTTTTCAGGCACTATTTTTCAAATCATAATTTGGTTTTATTCAAATACCCCCTTATACTACCTCTGGCTCTAAATATAAGAGTTAGTTAGAAATTTAATGGTATAACAACAAATCTCATCTTATTAGTTGGGTTTGACAACATGAACTATCTTACACAGTTGTATCTATGAACAACCAACTATTCAGATGTATTGTTTATTAAAAAGTCAGCTTGGATCAATTACCTTTTTTTTTTTCCCAATGATCTTGTTGATTTCCTCTAACTTTCATCACATAGATGCTACACTAATTCTTTTTTATATATAATCATTATGAATTTATAATTGCATATTCATCTCAACAACCATAGTTCGCTATCTCATTTTGTTTTCTTATCATTCTTGTAAGCCCAATATTCACTATCTTATGACATGCGTAAAATTTAGAAATAAATCAATAGTCATGTTAAAGAAATACAAAAATAATAGAATTAACTCATTCTATTTCTGAGTTAAAACACATTCGGGTATCTACAGTTTTTTTTTAAAGATATTTTTGGAACAAAAATGACCATCAATCCTTTATTTTAATATATTACATTATTGGTTATTGACCTGCAGTAATGGAAATCCACCTGCTAAACAACTGCTCAAATAATTTTTTAGACGTAAGATTTTTATTCTTACTGGGATAAAGTTAATATCAATGGCGACGAGGACAGGCTATCCTAGTAGCAGCATTAACATATTTATATGTACGGATGGTTAACCTGTTTTTTTTTTTAACTTAATATAATTAAATACACGCACATATATTATGAACACCAATCCCCCACCTGATATCTCATCTAAACATGGCAAGTAACAAGGCTATACAATGGACAAACCAGACTAGACCAGAGCCCAACCCAAAATCTAATCTGATTTTTAGTTGGGTTGGATTTGGTAGTCTGTGGTCTGATTCAGTTTAGTGGTGACCCGAGATCGGATTGGATCAAACTTGGTCTACCAGACTGACGAATTGGTCCAGATAGTCTAGGTTTCCAATTTTCTTTTTTTTTCCCCCCTTTATGGGAAGTAAAATTTCAACATCATAAATACAATTTAAGACAATAAAAAACACTTATAATCATGTAAACTCATCCTAAAATATTAAGACTTCATTATAAATACATAAATTTTTTTAAAAATATTCAAAAAAAAATAAAGGTAACATCTAAATTACAAATTATTAAAAAAATAAAAAAATCACCTCGACTGGACTGGACCAGTCCAAGTGGTCCTGATTACTTGGTTCGAAACTCTGTCTAGCCCGACTAGCCAGTCTAGTCTAATTTCACTATATAGTTTATTTAGACTGGATTGGATTGGACCAAACCATTTCAGATTAGATTGGATTAGACCAGACCACTAGGTTTTTGTACACCTCTAGTAAGTAGCATTGCTATGAGACAACTAATAGATCAATAATAGAAATGTGAATAAAAATAAATAATGACACTGAATAAATAAATCTCCA